AACTTGTTAAAAAACTTACTCAACACTCTAACATCTCTAACATCAATCAAAATATCTCCCAAATTAACAAACAGTCTTAATGTGACCTCTAACTACTTAACTCAACCAACCCATCCTGTATTCAACCTTGGCTTCAACATGCTCACTCTATTTGGAAGCAACTTTTTCATGCTTGTTATCTTGAAAACTCTCTTCTACTCCAACAACAAATTAACAAAGCCACCGACAAAAGATGCACTACTCTTACAACACACCCTACTCAAACAATTAATAGCATCCTTAACCATTATCATCAACCTATTCACTTCTCTAATCTAAAACTGTCTAATGAGCTTAAAACTGATCCACTACTCATTAAGCAGCATGTCCAATCACATTTTTATGACTAGACTGCATTTAGACCTATTGATGAAACTCTCTTTAATACCTTTTGGCAACAACACTATCTTCCATTGCCTCATATTAATCCAACCTGGTACCAATCCCTTAATTTTCCTATTACAAATGAAGAACTTTCCCAAACACTCTCACAGCTTCCTAACAACAAAGCCTGTGGTCCCACAGACATTAGTTATGAAATGCTTAAACATATTAGCTCTGAATGCATTTCTGTCATTACTAGTCTTTTCAATCGTTGCCTTCTTCAAAACAGAATTCCTAAGCAATGGAAACATAGCAGAATCTATCTTATCCCCAAATGTAACTCTTTTGATGGTAATCTTAACCTTTCTTGACCTATTAGCCTGGTTGAACACATTCGCAAACTTTATACTAAAATCCTTACTAACAGACTTAGCATTATATTTTCATCTAATCCTATCCTTTCACCTTTTAATTATGTTGCACTTCCTAACAACAGCACCTCAATTCCTATTCACATCCTCAATAATCTTATTGAAGATGCTACTTGCAATCACAAGAACATTTGGCTACTCTTACAAGATATGAGTAAAGCATATGATTCTGTTAACTTTACTTTTTTTAAACATTTACTTTTCCATCTGACTCTCCTTTATCTATTATTAATATTCTTTCTGATCTTCTGACTGATTGCCACAACCAAGTTATTACTAACCTTAGTCTTACTCCCTCATACCTAGTTTACAATAGCATTAACCAAGGTGAAACTATTACTTATTTATTATGGCATATATACTACAACCCACTTATATCATATATATGTTGTACCCTGGATGAGAATCCGCCTGATTCAGAATTCGGCTGTCCCAATTTAGAATTGGGGCAGCCAGATTTAGAATTCCTATACAGTGTACCCGAATAGATATTTATATGTTGTCACAGAGTAACAGGATGGATTCAAGAATAGAGCAAATGTGATGAATTGTCACTTCAAAATTGTCAACGTTGCATAACAGTACCCGAAAGCAAGATGAGGCAGATACGATTTGGCAATGGCTAAGGCAGCTTTTGAGCAAGTTACTGGTAAGTATAGAGACTTTCTAAAGAACGTTTATGTCTCTTGACACTTTATATAATTTATAAACTTTTTATTGTTTCATTAATTTCTTTTAATTACAGGAGTAGGGGGAGGTCGGGAGGTCATGGAGGTCCCCTCCCACTTAATGTCAAAATGGAGGACTATTTATAACGAATTATCAAAGGAGTATCTTGGAAGCATTCTCCTTTTTTCTATCTTAGTGTTTTCTTTTTCTGTTAATTGTACCAGTTTACTCTTTGATTCATGCTTCCATCTTTTCATTAACTACTCTATTTCGTAGGTTCTGCCGATAGCTACAGCCACATAACCTAAAACATCTTTGCAGCACCAAGGCTCAGTTGCGAATCCATGAAGATAAGTTATCTTCACCTTTTTCCTGATTGCGCAACGTGGTGATTCTACTAAGTCTTTCTTTCTTTTTAGGTTAGCTATAATTGTCATATGTGGGGTCCAGGCTTACAATCGTGGCACTTCTAGTCACGTTTTCAGTCATGTTTTCAATGATCATTGCGCAATGGCTTTAACTGAATTTCCCCCTAACAATGTATAGAATCAGGAATTAAAATAAAACATTTGTTTGTTAATTGCAATATTTAATCTTCGATACATGACATGATGTAATCGATTTAAAAGTATAAAAAAAAAGTATGTTTAGTAATAAAAAAAGACAAAGATAAAAAAAAAATTTTTCCCAATAACATGATCGATACTTGTATTGCTTTTACTATTTAATCTCTCAACTAAAAAAATAAAAAAAAATAAAAAAAAAAAATAAAAAACACCAATAAATCTAATATGTCTAGCTTTATGGACACTAATAGAGAGTTTCCTTTTCTTTCACGTGTTGCTTTTAATCAACTTCTGTCTGAATTCTTATCAAGTTGCTCCCTTAATCAACAAAGAAAAGCAATTAGTACTCAAGAAGATTATGACTTAATTATCAGCATTTTAAGAAGTCCCCAAGACACATCTATTGAAACTGCAAAAGATAGGTTTTGGACAAAAAAAAGTTTTTACATACACAATTTTGAAATATCCCAAAACCCTATTATTCAGCTTATGGAAGTCAAAAATTCAAATAAAAAATCAGATCATGTTATTTGTCTGTTCCAAAACCTTTATAATGTTCTTGGAAAGATACACAGCAACACACAGCAACATTCTGGATCAAAGAAGACATATGAGGCAATTAGTAACCAGTATGCTTATGTTTCTAGATTATTTGTGAAACTATATGTCTCTCATTGTACACAATGTTGTATGAGAAGAAGTTTTCTGGCATCTATAATTGGAAAAACCATTGTTTCAAAAAAGTTGTTACAACACATACAGGTCAATTTAGTTTCATTTGAAAAATATCCAGATAATGAGTATAAATATATTGCACATTTTCATGATCACTTCACGCAGTTTTCGTGAACATGTCCATTACACATCAAGGAGGCATTAGAAGTTGTTGCATTTTTATTTTCAGTCTTTACTGTTTTTGGCCCTCCTTATATTTTACAAAATGATAATGGTCAGGAGTTTATCACACAAATCATTCATGAACTTATTTGTTTATAGAAAGAAATTCACATTATTAATGGGCGTCCTCACCACCCAGAATCTCAAGGTTCAGTTGAAAGTTCAAACAAGACTTTAAAAAATGCTTCTTCAATATGGATGGAAGATAACAATAGAAGGGATTGGAGCATTGGCCTTCCTATAGTCACATATGCTATGAATATTCATTGCTCTAGACCTACTCATTATACACTGTATGAGTAGGGATTGGAACCGTTTAACCATTTAAAAATTGCTCCATAGTTCCAGGCAGAATTATGTTGGTTGTGGGCTGGAATTATTTTAATGCTGACAAAATTAAACAGTTAAATGATTAAATGATTAAATGATTAAGAAAAATTTTAGGCAGTTCCAATCCCTAAGTATGAGTTAGTTTTTGGACAACACCCATTATGCTACTTTAACATGATCGAGGAATGGAAGCAACATAATGTCAATATGAAAGAAGACTTACCAGAAGGTATCATTAAAAATGAGGAAAATTTTGAGGGTGCTGATAATAATAATATAGATGATGAAGATAACCAAAGTATAACACTTTAACAATGTAGTAATGGCATTGCACATATAAAAATTAATGATTATATCTATGAAGGTAAAGAAGGTATAATGCAAATACGAAAAATTGTTGCAATTTAATTTTTTATAAATTTATTTCTCATCAATTTATAAATAATTTAATTAGAAAATAGAGTTTCTGATCCTGAGGATGAAGAATATAATGTTTTACTAATCCATAGATCTTCAATGACAACTTCGTCAAATTTCTCTTAATCTTCAGAAAACAATCACTCAATGCTACGACGAACAATTTTTGATAACCAGCAAGCATGGCAATTCACTAGAGATGACAGTAATAGGGAACAAATAAATGATAAGAATACTGAAATGTTCAGTGAACCAATTTCTCAGCAAGACATTCAAGGAGTTCAGAGACAGGTAATAGGAAACAAGTAATAATGTTATGTGATTTCTTTATTATAAATCAATTAATTTTAAAATTATTAATTATACACGTAATTTAATTCTATATATTTATATATAAATAGAAAACAAATGAATCAAATAATTCATATAACTTTATTCCTAGTAAAAAATGTCATTATCAGGCACTTCAAGACATATCGAATAATCCAAAGTATCAACATAATATTTATTACCAAATAGCAAATAAAAATCTTATGAACTATTGTTCAAAGATGAAAAACCAGATGCACGCAAGATATAATATTTATGAACATATCTATAAAGTTGGTGATCTGGTAAAAATTCAAATTGCTAAGATTGATCGTGAACCTGGTGATCACTGTGCACTTCCATGCAAAGTATTTTTAGTACTTCCTAATAACATGTATAATCTCATCTGTTGATTTGGCATTCTAAAGAATGTATTTCCGGCTGGTGAAGTTTTGCCACTTGGACTGAAAGAATTTCCTGAATTAGATAATCCACTGACTGATACAACTATCAGTATTATTGAAGCTGCAAGACTTCAATCCATTTCTCTTGCAAGTAATAAGGGATGCAATTGTAGAGGTGATTGTCTTACAACAAGATGTTTGTGTAGGAAGGTAAATACTTTATGTGAGAGTGGATATCACCCAAAAAATTCTAAGTGCAAACATAGGACTTAAGATCATGTATAATGAATGGAATTGTAGAAGAAAAGGGCATGCTTAATCTATATAACAATTTGTATATATTGATATATTGTTGATACATATAATGCAAAAAAAAATATATTTTTTTTTCACCATGCATGAGTTTTTTTTTTGAGCATAAAACGATTCTGAATTAAAAAAAAAAAATCATGAGCCTCCAGTTGTTAAAAGAAGATAGTAATGATTTAATTCTCTTTATTAAATTTAAATTTTATTTTCTAACTTCTAACTTTAAATATTAACTTAAATTTTCAGAATCATAATTGTTTTTAAGTATCTTAATTTTTGGCTAGCAATTGAAATCATTCAACCATTGACTGGTTAATCTGAGACGGTAAATAGAAAATATAATCTAGTTTGTCAAGTTTAAATTCAATAACATATAAAATCTGTTCAGCTCTTATTATTATTATTATTTTGCTTTTATTTTTGGGCAACACCTGGCCTTATAATAATACTCGATACGAAAGTATAAATATGTACAATACGTATGTAGTAAGAACAGTTAAATATAACTTATATGGTTAATAAACAATAATAATTTAAATGCAAACAATATACTGTAATTCAAGATTCAATGATTCGGTTTCTACTCTAATCCAACTCTTGTGTAACCTATGGCAGCTAAGTCGAAATAGGCGTGTTAGATTTGGCTGAGTGGTTTATCTATAGGTAAGTACTATTCTTCTCTTCTAAGTCCTTCCTTTAACCTATCCTTCTATTAACCCTTGCCTTCTCTTCTCTTCCTTCTATTTCCTTAACTTGGAGTTATGATCATCGAATCAGATTGAAGTCCTTTTCTTCATTTAATGACTTGGTCATATGACTTACAGTAAATGAACAAAATGCGGTTCTAATGGATTACAAAGGGGTGAGCGATAGTTGATGATGATGGGTTTAATGATAGTTTTCAGTTTGTGTTGAGTTATAGTTCTACTTTTAATATAGACTCAATACTTAAATTTATTATGCACAAATGTATTTACTTAGAAGTATCGCCCATATTTGTTCTTTTCCTCCTAGGCAGAAGGCCCTTTATTTATAATAAAACTTTTATTTACATTCAAGGATTATTTTCTTTACATTATCTATTTACAATATTTCATTCCTAAAACCCCTTTCTCTACTATAATATCTAAAAACTGAATGCCCCCTATACCATTGTTCTACCCAAAGTAATAAATATAATAAATGCAATGAAAGTAATAAAAGTAAGAAAAGTAAGATAAATCTTACTTTTCATGTGACCAATTACTTGGGTAGGTGATGGGTCCTACATGCAATGATCAATCACAGGTAACCGTGATAACAGTAGGACAAATTTCAGGGTTTACAATATGTATATTGATATAGAATTTAAGTGATTTTCTATTCAGGTACCCCGTATAGGAATTCTAAATCCGGCTGCCCCGATTCTGAATCAGGACAGCTGAATTCTGAATCAGGCAAATTCTCATCCAGGGTACAACATATATATACAAAAATTATAATAAAAGTAACTAGCAAGACTGCTTAAGTGAAACAAAATAAAAAAAGTAAAATTTTAACTATTATATTATTTTAACAAAATATATTTGTATATATGATAAAATTTACTTAAATTAATCAAAATTTGCTCAGAAAATACAAAATTAGATAATTTTATTGTTAATTTTATTATATAATTTTTATAACCTAATGTTTAAAAATTCATATCTTGATAGGTTTTTAACTAATTTAAATAATTTTACTATTATTAAAATCAGAAAAACCTATTCTACAACTTTTATATAAGGATTAAAAATTATTAATATATTTTTTCAAAAAATTAAATATAAAAAAAAACTTGCAACTAATTATATATAGAAATGATCAAAATTGTATTCTACCCTTAATAAAAAATTTTGCAGTACAACTCTTTAAAGTTTATATTTTCTTAAAATTTTATACAAAGTGTTACGTAAAATTAAATCTGCGTCACAAACTTAGCACACATTCAAGTGATGTGATTCTATAACCTTATGACAGAGCACCCGATTTTTCAACAGACAGAAACGTACGTCATTTGTAATAACGACTTCCGGCTAAGTTCCGGTTTCATAGACAGAAGTTTGTCTGATTGGCTAATAAATTCGATTTAATTTTACATTATTTATACAGTTTAGAGTACTTTTTAAAAAGATGAAAACTAATCATAATGAAATAAAAAAAAAAGCTGTATAGAAGGTTTCATTAAAGCTGTAGGACTTCATAGTCAAAAATAAGATCTAATTCTCGTCCGTTTAAAAAAATTAGCTTAGTAATAAGTTGATTTTATCGGGT